GTCGTGACCTCTCTGAAAGGGTCGTGACCTCTCTGAAAGGGTCGTGAATCTGGAATTCACTACTAGAGTGCAGTGGAGGCTGGGACATTTAAGGAGGCAACAGATTTTTGATTAATTAGTTGAAGGGTTATGAAGAGCAGACAGCAAAGTGGAGTTGAGGTTGTTTTGAGATCAGCCATGACCTTATTGAATGGCAGAGCAGGCTTATGGAGCTGAGTTGCCTATGCCTAGTTCTTATGTGATTTTTGACACTTGTATGTTTGCGAACATTATCCATTTTTGTGCATCTGTTGATAAAATGGTAGGAGCAAAAATGATTGTCTATCACTCCCTTGACTAGTGGTTATTAGTTATCTAAAATAATGTGTAACACTAATGAAACACTAAAATTAAGCACCGTGGCAATACCACCAATTTTGTTAGCGAAGGGATTATTCATGGTCAACCAATCACAATAACAACTTCAGGCTAACTGGAAAAAGCAAGCCCCACCAAAACTCTGCATCTTCAATATGACAAAGGGCAAACATTGTCCAGTTGTATTCTGGAAGGGAAGCGGTGTGGATGTGGTACTTCTCATTGTGCAAATCTGTATTCTCAAGTCTGAGTATTGCTGAAATTGAAAACCTAGAAACTGCATTTAGATGTGCTGTGCATGAGAAGTTTAGGCCAGAGTTCCAAACTTTGGATTTAGAGAAAAGACTAGAAAATCTCCCACTAAATAGCAATACAGAAAGACTTCTATTTAGCCAACAGCATTTGTAATCACAAGGCATTCCAAAATGTGGTGTAGTAAATGAATGTGCTTTAGAGTAGTCAGTAATGTAGACCAATTTGCATGCAAGCTTCCAGAGGCAATATGATAAACTCCTGAATGAGGAATGAGGGATTAATATTGGATGGGATTCAGGGATTTCCCCATTCTTGTTCAAAATGGTCCTATTTGGTCTTTCATATTTTCTTGGGGCAAATATATATTTCATCCAGTAGACTACTACCACCATACTGCTTTAACGCCTAGACTTTATTTCTATGCTGAAAGTCCTGAAATTGAACTTGAATGCTCAAATCTGACTCAGATTTGTGCAGGGAACTTGAGTCACAACTGACATGTACATTTAATAAAATGTGCAGTTTATGAAAAACAAACCTGTACTTTGCATAATTTTTTTTTGCTAAAATTTGCAAATGGTACTCAAATTGTATGGTGGCTACATCTCTGGCTTGTCAGCAACGTTTATTAGGCAAAAATAGCCTCACCAAATTCCAGGTTAAGGACAGCTTAGAGCAGGCTATGTTGTCATGGGCCAAAAATAGGTTACTTGGCTCCTCAAGCCTGCTCTGCTATTCAATAAGATCATGATTGATCTGATTATTCCACATTCCCACCTTCCACTGACAGCCTTTCACCCCCTTGTGTATCAATGTATTTCTGCCTTGAAAAGATATCCATAGGTACTGCTTCCACCATGGAAGAACATTCCAAAAATTCGTAACCCTATGTGACCAAAACGTCTCCATCTTAAATGTTTGTCTCTAATGGATGAGCCATTACTTTGTAAGCAGGGATGCCAGTTTCTAGTTTGCCTTAACTTTAATTGCTCTGCCATTATATCTTCAATTTTATGGTTCTGACATGTTCTCTGTGACTGATGCTAAGCAATTTAGTTTGTAGTTTACTGCCTTCTGCCTGTCTCCTTCTTTGAATAAATGCAATTTTACACTTCACTGCAACATTTTCCAAATCTAGGGGATTAAAGTTTTCGAAGATTTCCAGCTCAGGTTGTGGACGAGGTTGTAGACATGCTCGCTGAGCTGGTGGGTTTGGTTGCAAATGTTTTGTCACCCTGCTAGGTAACATCGTCAGTGTGCCTCCAGTGAAGCATCGGTGTTCCGTCCCGCTTGTTATTTATATGCCTCGGTTTGCTGGGATGATTGGTATTATTTCTGGTTTTGTTTCTCAGTGGTTTGCACACAGGGTCTAATTCAGTGTGTTTGTTGATGGAGTTTTGGTTGGAATACCAGGCCTCCAAGAATCCCCTGGTGTGTCTTTGTTTGGCTTGTGCAATTATCGATATGTTGTCTCAGTCAAAATCATGTCCCTCGTTGTCCGTGTGTAGTGAGACAATTGACAATTAGTCATGTTTCTTGGTGGCTAATTGGTGTTCATGTATACGTATAGTCAGTTCTCTTCTGGTTTGGCCTATGTGGTGTTTCTCACAATCCTTGCATGGTATATTGTATATTATACCAGTTTTGCTGGTTTTGGGTATGGTAGGGTGATTAATCAGTCTGGTCGTGTTGTGTCTTCCTGTTGTGGTCTGTCTTGGAGGTAATGGTGGATTGTGCTTTTTCAGTATCCGTTTCTTTTGAAGACTTTGTATAAGTGCTACTGTTCTGCTTTGGTTGCTAGTGCAATTGAGTCCATATGTGTGGTCTTTCTATATACGCTAGTCTGGAGTTCCATGTTTTTGTGTTTATCATTGTGTCCAGGAAGAGTAGTTGGTTGTTCTCTTCTGCTTTTGTGAATTTTATCCCGGTAAGGATGTTGTTTATATGTCGATGGGTTTCTTCCAGTTTAGTATCATCCACATATTGGACCCAAAGATTAAGTTGTTTGGTGGGGAGCAATGTTGGTTCTAACATTTGCATTACTGCTTCTCATCGAGATGATATCCTTCGTAACAGCACTATTACCGTCCATAAACATCGATCTAGCCAAAGAAACAATGGCTGCACTACTGGATTCATCCAGTAAGCAGGCAACCCAGGACACCAACAACATCAATAAGGACACCATGAAACTGTTAGATTTGTGCCTCACAACCCACTTCACTTTCAACGACAGCATATACAAACAAATCAACGGAACAGTGGGATCCCCAATATCAGGACTGATTGCAGAAGCAGTAATGCAAAGGTTAGAACAGACAGTGCTCCCCACTATACAACCCAAACTTTTGGGTCTGATATGTAGATTACACCTTTTGTTATTATTAAATGGACAAAACTAGAAGAAACCCA